ATTACCGATACATCTAATTTGTCGTATTTAAAACGTAAATATAATTATAAAGTCCACGACTGATTATTCTACTAAGATGAAATATCACTGCACATCTTGAAACATTAATGACAGTTCTAGTAGTATTATATATCACGTTTTATTTTACTGAAAGCATTTTTTTCCATTACCATATCCGCTTTCTGGCGGTCCCTCTTCCCATCGTTTCATCATCGCAGTGTCTAGGGAATAACAGGACACCCTATATTTCTTCTCCGGCTTTCTCCGACGAGGAACAACGATCGACTCGTCTCTTTGTTCCTTCGTGTACCAGAGATACGCGCAATCGACGACTCCAGAGGTCTCGGCGCTATTTTAAGAAGCCGCTGCCCCCGCATTCGTTCCGGCGACTTTATTTCTGCCGCGATAGAAACCACCGAGATGCACGCCCGGGCGCATTCGATCACGAAAACCCGATCTGCGTTCTGTGCCTCGATCAACAACGCACCGCGATGAATATACGGCGCCTAATAGTATAAAGTCGTCGTGGAATTTCTTTCTCCATGTTTCTCTAATTATTTCGAAAGTCGATGTTCAATGAACTAATAGATCCGCCTACGAGGGCGCCATTTTCGCGCGGGAATTACGAACGCTGTTGGTCCATACAATGAATTTATATTAATAAAATCTTACGAAAAACGATATTTCTTACACGCAATTATTTATTGGAGGTACTTTTGAAGAAAATAATTTTGATTTTGATGCAGATTTTATTCAACACGTCGATACTTCCACTCTTCGAATTTTTACATCGAAATTTTAGAATTATCAATGCCTAACCTTTTTTGAACATTTAAAATAAATTTCTACTTTCCGTTTCACATTAATAAATTTCTCACGTATATATATTTATAGAAGAATACACGCAGTCGTGGAAGATGGGAGTATTTGCTACAATTGTTTCTAATTGCAGCTAGGAGAGATACGAGACATGCCCCAGATGCGTGGACCACCACCCTATATAAGCTCAACAAGCAGTTCCACGATAAGAGGGAACAAATATGTGCAAACATGTTATTTAAACCAGTTGTGTCATCCGAAATTAAAAACGGTATCACCCTTATCTCGAATACACCAAGAGTCCTGATGCCTTCCTAAGAGAACACGCGTCAGGATTTCCTGCCACATGGATCCATTAAAAAGCTTGAAAACTTGCAAAGAAATTTTATTTTTAACATCGACCATGTATCTTCAAGGTTTTGCATCATGTTCGCGAAAAATGGCTCTCGAGCACGATACTCATGATGTTTTTCATACTTGCTGCGAAATAACAACAGCGAGGAATAAATTACAACTAAGAGTACCCAAACTTACGTATTTGTTTGTACTAACCTTTCGATATTTTTATTCAACCCGAATGAAAATGAAATACGGAGAGAAATGAGAGCAAGACGTCAGAGGCGACGTTGCAGGGTATGTAAAATTTACAAGACACGACAAAGAATAGATATACTTGATTGTTGGGCTATAAATCTCGCAGTATTTCCTTGCGTAAAGCTAAGCTTTATGGAAACCTTTGACGACCATCGTTGTAATTTCTTCGTTTCGATCGGCTGCAAAAGTCTCGATATTATACACGTCGGAATATCTAAGAAGCTTCGCAGGCTAAAGCTATGCTACGTTCTGTTCACGTACTCGATAGACAATTTACATGAACAGCTTTTAGAAAACGAGGACAAAAATTCTACCAAACAAAACACAGAGAATGAATTAAACAGCTAGTACAGAACAGGTGCACACAAAACGATCAGCAATTAAACAATCATCTTCGCAATCACGATGTACAACATTCTCAACACAGAGGAACCACCAAGTCGAAATGACTAGGTTTCGGACATTTTATGTTTGCAATTACAAGAAACATGCAGAAGATACCTTCGGTAAAATTAATTTGTCTCTTACTCAAACAGAAACGTGATTATGTGTATCTACGTATGCTTATCTTATCATGTGACACTGCAATTATCAAACTACTAGAAATAATTGGTTACAGATTTTCTTTTCTTAAAAAGGTACAGACGTATATGGCAAAATTAATAGTAATATTCATTCGGATAAATATTCCACAAAATACGATGTATGATGTATGAAAATTTAGATATAGCTGTTCACACATCTCGCTTTGTATATAATACTGAATTACTTTAAGAACTTTGGCGATAAAGCTATGTTTACCAGACTCGTTCACCGTGATAACTCTAAAATTGCCTTTCCAGTTGCCAAGCAAGCTTCCGATATACGGCTTCCGTGAAACCGCGAGGAACAGGGGAGGTTTAAGAATGAAACGAGGAAGGATCGATAATTATCGATCGTTTTAAAAATAAAAATGGACTGTACACTTGAAACAATCAACCGGTCGTCATTGATTTCTGTTTCCCCTACTATGTTCCACATATCCAGCTTAATCCTTTGCACTCGAGGATTTTTTGACTAGAAAATAATGAAAACTCAAAGGTTTTCTGCAATAAAGTTGACGATATTTTTAAAAGAGTAAATAAGAAATCGTATACAAGACGCAGAATTATTTTCTTTGATACCCCACACGTCGTTGCGTTATTTTAAATTTGAAGTATTAACATCGATATTTGGAATTTGATTAAATGGCGATTGAGGCTCGCCTCTCGGGTGCAAAGGGTTAAAATCCGAACGAGAACATTCAAGGATCTGCTTAATCACCGACATTCCTTTTTCTCTCAGAAGAAAGTTTTAGAATGACTCATGAAGATATCTCGATGTCTGAGTATCAAACTCTTAACAAACAAGGTACGCGTGTTGGACTCGAGGCTTCGAAAATGATAATGCACGTGTAGTGAGAATGCTTAATTTCATCGTACAGGTAGCTTCGATTTTCTGTCAATAATTCTTTAGTTATGTGTACGTATAAAATATAGGTCAGCATTTAAAGTTCTGTTAAAAATCGTATATGTATGCCGCAGTGTGGCGAATCGTTACGACGACACGGTGCACCAGGTGCGATACTTTAGTTTCTTTTTCCGTCGATTTAAACGAGCAGTGAGTCAGCCTGTTTCTCCGCCGTGACAATCGTGACAGCGAACACCACTGGTCGTAAATATCTCAAGGTTTTTACTGATTCGAGAGCACGCACAAATATGTACAGACACGATGGGAAATTAATAAATAATACTGATATTGAATCATCACCCTCTTTCCGATTGTACTACCGTTGCTGGAAGACCCTGTATAGAGGCTAACTAAAATTAAATAATTTTGCAACGCACAGATCCTCATAATTAAATCACAGTGAAGAGGTAAAGAAACGACCATTTAGGTCATGGTTGGCCTAGCGTTGAAGAGTTAAATCCCACTTTCCTTCAAAACCACTGTCCTATCCGCCAGTATATTCCATCGATTAAAAAACCAATATTTTACAACTTCCTTTCCGTCTATCTATTCCATATACTCATACACTAAATCGCAATTACACGAACCATTTCCTAGATCCACAGACGCTATCGTCCAATAGCCTGGATGAAATTTTATCGAGCGATAAATTTCAATTACCGTGTACATTGCGTTGCAAACGCACACACGGCTGTTATATCATCAAAATAAATAAATCGCATTTATGCATATATATACAGACGCGTGTGTATATAACTGCTTCGGATATGCGTTATTCCAATAAGAAACGATACGAAAGCATTTCAAGCAGGTTTTTCGAGTGCAGGCCTGATTACTCGCAATTTACGGCGTCATCGATGCACCAGGTGGCAGACAACGCCACTTTTACGTGTACGAAGGCTCTCCCGATCGACTGGAGAGCTCTCACTACGCAGCCAGTAGTACCAACGTAACGGGATCGCTAATATCGCCGGTGTCGCGTTACAGATTACGAGCAAGCTGTGTTACACGCGGCTGTTTATCGTTAGTTAGATCTTACCGAGCCTCGTAACCTAGACTTTTCTAACGTTGGAACAGAATAAAGAGAAAATGACTGACAGAAATGGCTGCAGAGGCAGGATCTAGCTTAACTCTCCGAAGTAAGAGTTGTACAACCTTATTTCTGGGTCACTCGAAGAGGTCTTGATCTGAGGTGGATAAGCTTCTCAGAATGGTGTGAAAATATTGGGAACAATATTAGTTGAACTCGACATTCTGTTTCGTTTGATTCTTCCCAATTTGTATGTATAAAACGTTGTATGTATAAAAATTTCCTGCAGTCGTGAACCTAAAAATTTTTGAAAAAGAATTAATTTCATTCTTCTAGAAGATTGAACTTCTTGGAAACAAAGAAGGAAATGATAACACAAAAATGACCGAATAAAATAGGAAATAGCAGAAATAAAAAATCCGCTTCAAGAAATTGTCTAAAAACATTGTTAAAAAATGTGAAAGGAATTTGCTTAAGAAAACCAAAAAAATGTATAAGAAAGAGCACTGCAGTAAGAAAAGAACTTCCTTAATGACTGAAAATTAAATCAGGTAATTTCAGAAACTGTCCAATCTACTGATCTGTCTAACAATGTCCTGCTTGGGTTAAGCTTCTTCATTATCCAACTTCAATTTGCTTGAACGGAATATTAAAGAGTTCCACTAAAGACTGAGATTTCTAATTGGTATATAGACTGTAAATTATGAACGATCAATCTCAAATACCTAAGTTATGAAATTTCAACGAACTCAATCTAAATTTCTCTGACAGACAGCAGAATCTTTAAATTTTGGTGTTTTTATTGTTAACACCCTAACTGCAAATAAAATTATCAAAAAAAAAAAAAAACATCTCCAGATTTTATACAAGCGAATACAATACCACTTCCTTTAGCTATTTCCTTTTTTCATTTGCTTTCAGAATAGAGTTATTATCGGTATCCTCGACGTAGCGACAATTGAGGCTTCACTGGTCTCGATTCCAGGATATACCATTCCAGTGAATCATCGACCATGAATAATTACCGTTTGTTTTCTGATCGTTCTGGTCGATAAGGAACCTCCGCGTTGCCCGGGTATAATCGCATTACGTTAGAATCCGCTAATTTGTAACCGCCTCGTTAGGATAAGGCGTTTATCGCACGTACACCGATCCATTCTTATTTAATAACCGAGTAATTATCCTGGACGAACTTTTTCGGATCAATGCCTGTGTCTCTTGAATAAGTATCACCGATCTATCAAATGAAAGAAGCTCATTATTTTCTTACATTAATACCTCTTCTTAATACTTAAAAAAATTACATTGATGGAAAACGAGACTGATATTGACGATACGTTTTGCATCGATATTTATCCTCAGATCATTTTTACACGATTATTTTTATTATTTTACTTTATCGTGTGACTTTATTTCCCCAGCAATCCTTCTGCGTACTTATTAAGATCAATTTCTTTCCAAGACGTTTATGGTATGGTGCCAGATCTTTTGAGCAAATAATGAATGACGCAAAAGATGCGTCACTGTCCTAAAATTCGTTCAATGAGAATTATTATTTAATAAATGTAATTTCCAAATAGTGAACATTTATTTTAGTGCTTCTTTCTTTTCTTAATGAATAATTATTGTTGTATTAAAAGAGAAAAAAGAAATAATTAAATCATGCGTTTCTCATAAAATCATAAAAAGACACGTAGATTTTCCCGAAATTTAAAAATCGAATCGACTTCCTAAGTTCTTTAATTCATATGTGTGTATACGTACTTATATGTGTCTGTACGTGAACGACTGTAATATATTTACGGCATTCACCGTTATTTAGTATTGAAACGATAACAACTAGGGCGTGCAAATCGTTTTCACTGTAGTACTGAAAAAAATCTGTTGTAAAATCATTTGTTCAAGGGACCCGATTTCGATTCTCTTTTACTAACAATGGTTTGTTTCCTCGTTACGGTAGGTTGAAGTTGTGACCAGTTGTCGAATACCAGGGAGCCATTAAAAACAAATTCTGCTATTCGATAAACTAGATAATAACAGGCTGAAATATTTCTATAGAAATAAATATATATAATTTTATTTTAAATGTAAAATATGAAAAGTTGATACCTATTTGTGTGGGTTATTAATGGACCATGGATTGTCAGAACTGCAATTTTCATTGGATCCGTAGGCATTTCTTAATTCATTGCTCAAGTGAGGTAGGTGTAATCACAATTGCTTTTTTAAATTGACTCCTAGAAATGTATGTTGAAATACATTCTATTACAATCAATTAGTTACAAAGAAGAGGAATAAATTAAGGTTATAAATGTATTTTTCACAGCGATTGTCGAATATTGGGATTAACCTAAAAAACTGTAACCAACTATAATTTTTCGTTTCTTATAAACAAAAATAATCCCAACCAAAAATGTTAACAATTTTAATCGTACATGTCAATGGCAGCAACACTTAATAAATTACTTGAAAACTGCTTAGGGATCAACACCCAACCGAACGCCAATCATTCCTATCATACCCAACCTCAACACCATCCAATAAAGGGGAACGCTTTCTACGCGTTACCAATGGATCGCGTGAACGCGTTTCTGCGCACATGCGCGAGAATTCGAAGCAGTAGGAACAGTGCGTGCAGGCGACAACTAAATCTGTATTCATAGAGTACGACAGGACGGCGAGAAGCGATTCAATAGACCAGCCATGGACAAGTCGAACGAATCGAACGGAGGATGCTTTATATAGCGATCGAAAGAACGCGTATATCGCTTATTGCGTCTTCGAATGGACAGTCCTCGGACGGAAACCGCGTCGCGTTGGTTTATAATGCAATACCTATTGACGACCGTCGATGGAAAACAACCTCCATGTATTACGGCCTCGCGCGCACACATCACACACATATATCTATATGTAGTGTTCGTTTGTATCGCGTATGCACAGAGAATGGCGATCTTTTGCGTTCGATGAATGACGGATCGAAATCGATTTCTTTTTATAAAGAGATACATATGTGTATGTATATGAAAGACTGTTAAGTGGCATAGGTGACTTGACATCTAGAGTAACTAATCAGATGTACATATATTCTGGAGTTTGTAGGAGATAAATATGGCGCCAGAAGATCTGTTTTGTTTGATTTAAGAAAATGGAATACTGATCTTGGTCTAAAATACATTGAAAATATTTAGAGGAATGAAATTAGTATATTATAAATTTCGTGAAACATGTATAAATTATAATTACGTCAAATATTTGAATGGTAAGATTAATATAAGTAGACTGGATTTATTTGAAGACTGACAGTGTCGAGTAAGTAATGTTTCTCAACTGTAATTTTTACTGAATGTCAAGTATATTCGAGATAATTTAATTTCGTGAAATTTATAGGACTATAATGGTAATCGAGTTTCAAGCACGTCTCGAGTACTGAAACACCTTTGACACTTGAAATAGAGTGTGTCAGTTAAACGAGTGTAATACCATAAGGGTAGATGGATGGTGGTCAAATATAGTAAATAATAGAGTAATAAAGAGTAAACGTTTTTTATGCACCGTTATACTACTACTTTAGTATACAGAATGTTCCAAAATGATGAGACGAATATTTGACTAAAACCTATGAGCCTAATACCATAACTTACAATTTAAAAAAATTAATAAGGTAATTAATAAATCAATTCCTAAGTAACTATTCCTTTTACTATACGTAAATAAATACTGCACTTCTAAATAATAAGATAGCGTTAGAAGAATTAATTGTACGAATTACCATTAAAATAGAAAATAATTTCTAAGTGATAACAGCAAAAATTTCTTACATCATGATACATATTTTATTATTACTTTCACTTATTTTATACAGAACCTTTAAATTCGTGTTACGGTAAACCACACGTAATACCAGACAAAAACCACGAACAAAATCGACAGAGCGAATAGCAACTTTACGTCAAGAATAACAAACAATTGCCAAAAAAAAAGATTCAAGTAACTGCAATGTGGATTATCCATCGAAATCAGAGCTTGGGAAAAGAAAATGTGCAGCAACGAAGAAACAAAAACAAAGTTATGAGGAATGAAAGAAAAATCCGTGCATCAACAACGAACCTGTTACTCCGCCAGAAATTCTGTCTTCAATTGAAGATAATATCAACTACTGCCTACGATCGTACAGTTGCTTAAGTTGTAAAGCAAGAAACTGCACAAAAGAGTCACGTGTAACGTGATTGGGAAATTTTCCTTGGAGAAGAGATAAAAGGGAAATGGTATTCGACGTGTTAAACTAAATGACGTTAATAGTTACGAGAAGTTATTTAACAGAAACGGATGTTTTAATTATAAAGGAATGTACGGAAAAGAAACTCCATTCTGTTGATAAAATACGTGTGAAAAATACATAATTATGTAATTATGTATTTCTCGTGTACGTATTATTTTAATTATTAAAATATATGTAAAAAGATACACTCTCTATTAAACGATTAACATGTGGGAAAGATCTATTATAGATCTGAATACATTAATATTAAAGTATAACTAAAATTAGCAGATCTATTTACGAATAAAGAATCTGAAATAAGTAGTACTCGAGAGATTATAATTTTCATTTATTTTGACTAATTCTCGAATGAGTTAAAGACTTTTCTCAAAGGAAACGCTTGCGTTGAAATTCTTTTTCTTTTTTTAATTGACTACTTAAAAGCAGAGAATAAGAGAAAAATTCAACACAAAATTTTTAAAAGTCACTTTCAAGTTTAGCAAAATAACATGGACGAATTTGTATTCAAATTGCGTTCGTCTCGTCACCATCGAAAACTGATTCATATTCATAATGAAGATATTAAATAAAAAGGGAAGAAGGAAGTTTCGTTTTCGTTACTTCTTTTCTATCATTAAAACATAACATTACTACGGCGGACAAAGAAAGCCGACATAAGACATAAAATACCAAGGCACGTCGTAGTCTGCGCAAGGTAATCACCGTGCACGCATAGGCATGAGAAAAATGCATTTGCTTTTAATGCACGTGAATTCATCAATTCAAGGATACTCGAGAGCGCCACTGCGAAATTCTTTCTTGATCTAAAATTCTTTCAAGCGTCGTTACAGCCGAAAGAAAAATTTCATTTGCATACCTTGTCACGTGCGTAACGATATTCAAGATGAAAATTAAACTAGGAAGAAAACGTCTTTGCAGAGGTTAACGAATTCGTTTAACGCATTCCCTGTCTACAATTTTCGTTAAGAGGGAAAAAGAATGTCGGCTGATATTAATTTTAGTATTATTAAAATAACGATTAATATTACTTATTATTTACATTAAAAACTCGGAAATTTACTTAACACGAGTATTACTAGATTTTTACCTGGGAAAAAGATTTACGGTTTTCATCGTAAAACCTTTTCGTAGAATGTATTTACAGGAACAATGATAATATTATGAAAATTGTCCGAACGATTACTTATCGATTCGCGAATTTCGTGGAAGTATTGCACCACTTTGTTTAATGTTACTTCAAGCCTGAATATGGTGGTTCTAAAAACACGAAGAAACTAATATTTCATTATTACAGAAAATTAAGGAAGTTTACATAAAAATAAAAAAAAAAGATTTACCTTCCTCTGATCAATGTCCTATTATAAAATAATTACGAACTCTTGCAACGATTATTTCTTGTAATTATTTAATTCTTTGATTGAAAGAATAAAAATACTTGGTCATAAAATTGCATTATTTTCGTCGGAGCATATGCCCCTAATTTATACAGCTATACCTAAATGCAGAACGTTATAGTTTCGTTAGAACGCCTCATAAAACCTCCATTAAAACGCTTCTATTATTAGCATCCACCAATACGTCCATTCCATTAACATTTCCATTAAGATTATTATCGGGAATTAAAGAAAAAAACCTGGCACTCATTGAGGCCCATGTAGCAGCCTCAATAAAGAGAATCGAGTTACGCGTTCCAACAGCCGGAAGACATATCGAACACATCCTACAGCGCACCAGACCATTCTCGTTCCTAACCTCGAAAACAATATTATTGCATCAGCAATTCAGTACCTTCTTCCTTTCTCTCAGATGTATTACGAATTTCTAAAAAATTCAATATCAAAGTAATCAATAATAAAAAATGTATAAAGAAAAAAAATTATATTTTTATAATTAACAGTATAATGCAGTATAATATAAATAACTACGAATAACTAGAGAGCAAAATTCAGAATAGTACAGAGTATATAATAAACAATAAAATACTGTTTGCTACAAATGCTCTATTCCTATTCAAATACTTAATAATCTATTAATACCTCGGTATACCTCCACTCCTAAAATTCCAACGTCGCATCCCTTCGCATAAATACATGTAAACCCACCAACGTCGCATACAGTTATATAAACGGGCGCTAAATTTCTCGGCCGCACATACCTAACCTTTACGCTAATCTCTTAACCTCTCCGCAGCAAGGATTTACCCGCCACAATAAGATCGTAAATTCTCCAGGCACCCAAAGGACTCTTGTTTCTAAACACCCATGTCTGGAAATTCCAACGGGACGAATTTTCCACAGTGTACCGTTAAATGTTCGTGCACGCGTTTTTTCAGGCGTGTCGGCCTTCCACGAAACTGTTTTAAAAGGCGCAGGACAGAGAACGGTGGCAGAAGAGGGGAACCGTTTACCCACATCTTTTCTACCTGCGCGTTTCCGGTGATTTAAAGAACCCGACCTGCCTCAAGCGTGAAGCGTGCACACACGCGCTCGTCTCCTCGCCTCACCTCCCCTTTAGCTTCAGCTCGAGTCGATCGAGAGGAGGCAGTAGGCCAACCGTACGCCGTCCAGAATGAAAGTCTTATTAACGCAATTTCACGTACTATAGACTAACGTAATTGCTGAATTAATACGCTTGCCAACTAGGACTAATAGAGCCAAGTAATATTCTGAAATTATCGCGAACGCGGAATCATTTCGCCCGGTGATTCTGCGTCGGTGCAGATGGCGCTGCTGTCGCTAGAGTAGGGAATATGGCGAAGTGTTTTGACAAATTGGGTAATATGATTGACAAAAAGAAACGATTACTAGGTTTACGCTATTAGGAAAATTGTTGAAGATTCGAAAAATGAATTATAAGGTAATGTGTTATGGTTTCTGATAAAAGGAAAATAAAATAATTTGCACTTGGCTTACCATTTAAATTTTAATGCCGTGTGTCATAGAGCCATTTCGTCCGTACGCGACGAAGAATAACACGCAACCGAGACGAAAACATTGGCGAAAATTAACGACGAACCTGACCTGTGATGTTTATGTTAAAAACTACGACTAACGGCTCTCGCTGTAATGTTTATGATCGGATCTACGACTCACGGCTTTCGCCCGTAATACTGGTGTTTGGCTCGATCTCCTTACCACGAGTCTCACAGAATATTGTAGGCGAAGAGGTTAAATTTTGGTTACTAATACCAATGATAATGATAAGAATAATTTACATATTTTTTACTCTTCTAGGATTCAAAATGACTTCGAATATTCGATATGAGTCTGCAACCATTAAAAAGAATTCTTAAAATAAAAAGGTATCAACTACAACGATGAATATAAAATCATTTTTTACTAAGATATTCGTGGCATTGAAACTGATAAATAAACGTATTATGCTGGATATATATTAGCTCGTAAAGGTTAGCTAAAAAAATATATTTAAAATTCCCTACTTTATACCAGTATTATTCTGCTTTATATCAGTTTACTAAATATTTCAACTTTTGAAATGTGTTAATTAGATTTTATTCAGTGTGTAATCTAACAATTCCAGCTCTAACTCTATGCCATTTTCGACAACTAGGAACAAACTACCCATTTGTCCCGCCGTTGCTCAGCCTAGTTATTTATGGGTAGACAAGTTGCGAATTCAAATTAGGTCTGAAACTCGCTTCGCCTGTCTCAATAGGGATCGACGCGTCATAAACCCTCGAGAACATCCAGAACTTTGAAAACACGAATCGGTTTTCCAAATTAACACACGGACAACCTACTTGTATAACTCGTATGGGACGTGGAAGACTCAGGGAATCGCTCGAAAATACTTCTTGCTGTTTCACACCCTCATCTACATTTATAACCCCTTAAGAACTGAATGAAGGCAAAAGGCAATTCAGTAGACAAAAAAGGAAGTGGAAGAAGCGGTACTTTTTAGCTATACGAACTCTGAACTTGCTAGTTTTGAAACTTTTGGACTTGTGAACTTCGAGTTCAGTAGCTCTGAAACTCAAGAACTTAGCATACTGAATTTAGTACGTTTCACTAAGTTTTAAGCGCATGTAAGTTAGCGTTTGAATTTATTAGGCGAGGATTTTAGACGCTTTCATTTTGAAACGAGCCGCAGGAAGATTGTGAAAGAGGAATGCTCTAAATTAAAGTTAATAGCCATTAGAGTTACACTCTTTTAAAGAGCAAAGGAGTTATGAGATAAGTGTAAAATGCAGGAATGGGTAGGAAGAATAATTGGAAGAACACATGAGAACAGTACGTGCAACTGCACTTTCCTTATGTCTCATTTTAGTTGCTGGACAAGTAGAATTACAAGAAAATGGAATTTCCACGGCTTTCTGCCCTTTTTAGTATCCGTTAAAAAAATTCTCCATTAAGAAAAAGTCTTTTCAATAAAAATTCACAAATTAATTTTGAAAAGGATGACCAAGATCAAAATAGGTATGTCTCTCAAGTTCAACTTTTGTTTCAAGCTATCGCAGAAGATCATCTATCTTTACTTTCCATTTCAATATAAATGTAAAAGCTTTATATTCCCACAGAATATTTAATCCTGAGTCAATGAATAAATTCGAAACAGAGTAAGATTTATTACATCATTTATGAAACTCATTTATATCCGATGATCATCCACGTCTGAACCAACACGAAGGTCAGTCTCATGATTTGCAGTATCAAAATAGGTAGCAACGATTCGAAGTGGCCGATCAATCATGCAATTTAAGCACTCGACCAAACTGCAACGATCGCTTAATCGGAAACACTTGGACGGTGTAATAAAGCTCGCTAAAGGTGTCCATGGCTGCTGACTTCTCCCAACCTAAATACCAGACCACTTTGTTTTTCCTCGTGAACTGCGTTCTCTACAGTTCCTATGAGTCAGCTCATTCCATGGCTCGTTAAATCCCGACCCAGCCCAAGCCATAAGTGGAGGCTTTGGATTGTTTCCTCTAGAACCTGTCTTCTCTGAAAGAATTTTGACACAATTGCCTTGGAACTTGCGCTTGATCCATCATCTGTGATCTACGGCCTATAGTGGCGGCGTTATCTCGTCTAAGACGGAAGTAACTTAACCTGGAAGATCGTTTTTAAATTTCATAATTAAGCAGGATAAGAATGATCGCATGACGTTCCTATCTGACTAGTCTATAGTATCTTTTTATAAACTGCTATACATATTTTGCTTTTTAAATACTCTTGTATCTTATATTCCAGAACAGGTGTTTTGAAATCAACTGATGAAATGAACAGCTGAGACCAGCTTTCTTATAAACTAACCGAGTTATTGCGAGAAGTGCATATATCTTAAGACTTTATGGTGTAACGTGATAACACGAGATGTGAAAATATATAGAATTTAAATATAAATGTTTAAATTGCACCGCTAAACCTGATACATTTGGTTCGGCGATACTAAATAGACTTGCTCCACCTGCAGTACCAATCGACCGACCTGCTACCGTGAATATAGCCGTTCTCCTTACCGAAGGGATACAGGTCTTTTTAACACTGACTTCTGGAAAACGATAAAAGATTTAACTCGAAAATTTTCTTTTTATTCCTATAAAATTCGAGTAAAACCTGAGATAAAATTAATTTTACATTTCCGAAGATCCAGCGATAGTAAAAGGTCATCATCCCCTTAAAATTCCTCAACGATAATGGAGACCATCTGTTAAAAGCTTCAATCGCCCTGATTACCAATCCCTGATCAATCGTTCTAAAACACATGGCGTACACACATATACGAGAATGTTAAAGCGAGATGCGCGACCTCGATCGACTTTACCAGCGTTCTCTGCAACAAGATCTGCTTTCTCTCATTACGCCGTCATGAAAGTATAATACTTATGCTCGATGGAGCACCGAGAGATCCTCATACGAGGTGGCTGCTTACTGCAAACGCGAGTCCTCCCCACTCCTCTCGCCTATCCCCACCACTCGTCAACAAACCACCGCTACGATCGCCCGTTTAACGGGCGACGCGATGCAATTATAATGTATCGCTTTCGTAGTCGACTTCTCGTGCTCAGTATGTATCGCGGATACCGGTCGCGGGTAAATCGGACCGGAAACGAGTTTAGCGTGTTGGAGAAACGTCGGAAACAATCGATTGGCCGGGCACAAATGGCTCAGCCCGACGAATCCTCGTACGGGCATGCGCACCACGTACGCGTCTCCTTGTCTGGCTTGCTCGCTCTTCCTCGGTCGTTCGCACGCACGATTCGTTGGCCTGTCTACTATTTCATCGTCCGTCGAAAATGCAATTCAATTTTTTGACAGTCTGTATGAACGTTCTTTAATGAAGATTTATGACCGTTTTAAGCATAAAAATAATTGCATCTTTTCTTTCGTTTGTTCAAACGAAAAATGAGGTTAGGTTAAACATCGTGTTTCCGAAGAGGAATGGGAAATAATGATTGATCGCAGGTAATGGCTAGTAAGTGAAACGATACAGCCATAAAACAGGATGAATTATTGTTACAAATAAATAACTATTTATAATGCATTATAAATCTAATACAATGTAATTTGGACGATTAAGGTATGTATGAATAGGATGAGAATAGAATATTCTTCTTAATAGAAATGAAAGAAAAAACAAATAAAAATTAATACTTTATATAGGAGTTCCAGGAATTTGACATATGGTTAGAGATCGGTGTACATTAAGGAATATGGAACACATATGCGTGCCCCTGTATCTTTGGAAAAAACTCGAGGGAAAAAGAGAGAAGCCAATGGGTAAATTAGCACAATTTCACGCGTTCCCGTGTCCTGCTAACTTTCGCACCGAAAAGCGCGTCTTGCCAAGAAAGCGTGAGAAGCAGATATGAAACAGAGAATTCTTGTTTCAGATTTTTTCATAACCTAGATTCGCGTATCAACGGCTCGTGCTGGCTAGGCCTCTACACCTTCGAAAGTGGTCTCTTCCTTCTCTTTTGTCTCGCAACACTATACAAATTGTACATCCTTTCAAGGACTTCCAATATCCCAATGAATATTCAGGGACCCGCCATAAAGTTGCATACATAACTGAATGAAACGCAACAATTATTGCATTCTTCGTAAAATCACAAATTATTTGTGACAATTTCTTTAAAACTCGAATGAAATGCCTTTTTTCTTCTTTAATATTGGAACATTTATCTGTTATGAATTTAGTACTGTTATTTAAACAGAAGAAGACGAAGAATCTTCATTACTATTTTTCATCTTTTAATTTCAGAGTTACAAAAGAAAAATGAAGAAAAATATTTTAGAAAGATACGAAAGATATTTTGTAGCAAATTTGAGACACCATAAGAAAATTGAAGAAATAACGAGGTATGCAAATTTCCTACTGATCTTAACACAGTAACCAAGAGAAACAGCTCGTAATACTTTACACGACACACCCCACACAATTTCAGCCTAAGAAACTAAATAACAATGAACAATAACCGAGATTGCGTCTTCAATTTCTATGGTATAATTATCTAGCCATAAACTGGTCTATAACTGTATTCATAATAAATAATTCTAGATAACACTCAAGGCTTGGAAAGAAAGACTCCTAAAAGAGGAAGAGAAAACGACACTTTTCATTTAATGACTTGAAAAAGACCCAAATGTTTCTTTACAAAATTTAATTTTTGTTATTATCAAATGAAAGGAGCTACATTCATAATGTATCGTGACATGTTATACCGAATATAGTCTTGGAACACCAAGTGTAGAGATACTACATGCCATTTATCACGGAATCTGTAAGGATAGAAAGCATTTCTTGGAAATTACGGACACCGTTTGTACCCGGGTACAAAATTGGTCAAGTTGGCCAATTGATCCGGGCCACTCCATGCGTTATTTATACCTATCTTGGTAATGATTAGTTCAATAGGAACTTCCTCTGTATTACCTGTGACCTCTTTTGTTCCAGTTCTGCCATTTTACCATTCGAACAAGTGCTCATTTAAAAGCGTTTCTACGATTCTTCGTATGGGAATACAATTTATAACCGTTCTAGAGTGCTGTTTGCAACAAAATTTTAAGAAAAGAAACCAATTCTCTAATACTTATGCTGCACTCTGTATATTAAATTCCTGGAAACATTCAAAATTTAAATTAATTTTTTTCCAGAGATTAAAACTTTTAAAAAATGACATTTTCAATGGGTAATACCACAATTACTTTCATAATCGAGTTAAGATATATGTTCGAAATCACGAGCCATGATCAGAGAATCCAGAAGTGGGCACCGGAAGTGGAGGCGTCGGTAACACATGACAATTGCAACTGATAAATTACATAAAGCGCAATCCTCTATTAGGGTGCCTAAAAATAGCCCTTTCAGTCCCGAAAGATGATCAGACGAAACATTGGTTGAAACGTTCCATCCGAATCGACTCTGACGTAATTGAGGTTAGAGAACACATTTTTCTAGTAAGTAAATGAACGTCGAAGGTTGCAAACGTGGCATTTGAACTTCGTAAACGTTCAGTTTATCGGGAAAAGGACAGGAAAAAGAATTAGGTAGAAAAATATGGACCTTTGAAATCTGCTTCCCGAAGTCACGGCGCGAACAGTATCCGTAGTAGCTCTCCCTTTCGGGGAGAAGCGTTGTGTGTTCAACAGATGTCGTAGAAAGACCCCGAGATAGTGGCGGTCAGATGAAAAAGGTCACTGCAGGACAGTTAGAAGTGGGATGAAGAGGGAGTTTTTCAAAAGTGTTTCAAAACTGCGCCACACTCAGACGAAATTCCATTCACCACGAACACAAAAAACTCTCGTATTCTTTCTCTGAAAAGAAAATATAAGGATTTATTTTTAAAAAAAAGAAAAAAAATTTTTAATTATTCCTAGGATCAATGGCAAGAAGTCTTTTTTGGATTATCAAAATTGTTGAAACAATAGAAATAATACAATGAATATATCCCACATCTATATAACCTTACTAAAAGAACGGTATAGCTGAATCCTATTAGTAATTTTATAATTTTTAAAATTAAAGTCGAGACCATTTATTTTTTATTCTATAACAATATGTATTTTAACAAATGTTATCGCATCATTACGAATAACATCATAAAAATGGTTTCTAATAACATAACCAAAAAACGTAACTTCATATATATCATGTTATTTATAATCTATTCTTCATTTACCATACATAATTCCATGAGTAACGAAGAAAAACACAACAACGCCATCTAGCGCGGCATTCGTTTTACGTATAGTAGTTCTGCAATAATACGTCTCACTTACTTATCATCTGTTTCGCGACCCGCGACCAATATCGCCCCTCTGCCGACGATATAAATAAATCGATGCAAAAACGCGCGTAAACAACCACGAAGATTGGTGACTGTGTTTAGCGTGGCTATCTCGAGAAAAACAACAAGAAACCATCTTTTTATTTCTCTTATAAAGAAAATCGCTATTTCGAATTACTATCGCTACCTAAAAATATGATAGTCCGTGGTAGTTTCTTAACAAAGAAAAATGCATTATTCAAAGGATGAACAAACACATGCTATGACAGATAAACTCTCCGCTAACACGCAAATCTCGTCGAACAAGTAGTCCCGTTGCCTATGCCCGGATCCCGAAGGGGTCTACTACGCGTCCTTCCATCCCCCTCGAAAACAGAACCGCGCAGGACCGAAACACGACGGTACACGGGGGGGCACATTTTGCCTCTGTTCAAGTTGGAAGCCCTCCAATAGGCTTCGCCGGTTCACCCCCCACGCGAACCGCTGAAACCCGTTTTAAAAGTCCATAGGAATGCATACCGCCGGGCCTTTCACCTCTTTCGCGAGAAAATGTATTTTCATGCTTTTCGATCGCGTGCGCCCGTCATCCGGCCGTGTTGCTCTCGCAGCGGATATAAAATTTTACGATGGAAAACGCAGTTACCGCGTGAAGAGAGAAATCGTTTCTTAATTATTTTTTTCGAAACGTTACACTCTGGAAATCAGAACGTGACCCCAAGCGGGTCAGGAATATTTCATTCGGATGGATGTTTCATAGGATGGTAGTATGTATCAGAAAACGAGATCTACGTATTATAACGGTCGATATGATTGCTAGGTTTCGAAAGAGCGTAATAGGTCTGATGTTCCGGCGGATTAGACTGACGTGTATACATATCGTGTAATGGGAATGAGATTCTTGTATGTTTAGCTATTACGTGCGCGATTACATGCTTGAGCTTCGCCCCCATCAAAAGAGTCGTGGATACATTATCGCTGCTTGTCTAAAAGCTCGATTGTAAACATCACGGTTTCTATAAATATTTGCATCTGAAATTCAAGGTAAACTACCGGATCAATTTATACCTCGTTACAGAAAAGATACGCGATTTCGATGCACTGTGAAATTATAATTACGAATCTACTGATAAATAATAAATTAAGAATGCTAAGTTCCATGCACTTGTGTCTAAGTTAATGATTTAAAAAAAGGCCATGCAAGTGTTGCCCCTAAAATTTTCGGTTAAGAGAAATCGATATCGTTTTATGAGGTATTTCCAAATTTGCCGAAAAGTCGGAAATTATGAGAGAACCAACGACTGATACGATAAGAAAAACTAATTCATGGCCGAAACGAAATCCTTACTGCGTAGAAAGCAATAAAAAATGTGTAAAAACAGCGTTGAAAGCGCATTTAAATATTGCTTTGAGCGCACAAAGGTTGACAAGAGTCGCCATTTTGAAATAATCGGTAAAGGATCCACCTTCTCTATCTTTTTTCAACACACCATGCTCGTTGGTTCGATGGAATTGTGTATACCCGAGTCTTGGCACAATGAATACATTGAAACTCTACTCGGTCGAGCTACAGTGACGAAAAGTCAAAAGGACGCGCTCTTGTGTATACCCGGAAGAAACACGACGCCTAAGGTACAACTTTAGGAGCATTGCGCTCACACATCGATCTCCCCTGTTTTCCAATGTATCGTGAATTTAAGAATTCTAACGATTCTCAATAAGCATAGGATAAATAAAAACACTTACCTCGTATTTGATGCCATTAAGTCGCAACCATGTCTCCACCTTGAGACAATACTGTGAGATAGAGGGCAGAAGAGGTATTCGGGAGAACTGATACAGATAAACAATATCTTTCTCGTAGTTGGCCTTACGCACGCTGATAGCCTTGGTCGGTGCCGAGGATGGCGTAGCGGCCGCAGCGTCAGCGGTCTCTTCTTTTTTACCACTTTCTTCCTTTTTCGCTGCATCTTTCTCCTCTTGCTTATTGTCCGGCGGCGTTTCGTCCTTCAGCGCCTCTTTCATCTCTTTCACATCTTTAATCTCCTTACTCTCCGGTCCAGTGTTCTCTGTCTCCGTTGCCATCGTCATCTCGACTACTTTTCACAGATCCGACCGGTTTCAATGAAAACGAGGAAACGCTTCGTACGAGTGAGCAAGCGAACAAACGTCGACGGACAAGTTTTCGAGCGACACTGGAAGCCTATCTCTCGAAGACAGCGCGCACCACACAAACGTATGCCGGGTACTCGCCAATCCCTCTGCTTGCCGGCCGGTTCCTTCTCGTCGCTGCCCCGTTCTGTCCGCGGCTCCTGTCCCCCCAGCTGAAAGCGACGTTGCGCATGCGCAAGCGCCACACCCCACTGCTGTCGCCATATTTAATTGGTCCGCCACCCCTGCCCGGTCCGCGTGCCGCTCATTCCCTCTTTCTCTGCCGATTCTACCTTTCTTTTTTCATCCAACTCCCTTTAAGTCCCTCCGTTCCTCCCGCGAAACCCCCATAAGCAGGCTCGCTTCCACTTCGCAGTGGTTAGTCTCGCCTGGCAACACTGCCGCCACCGCCACCTCAAGAGGGCCGAACAAACTCGCAACTATATATTTAGGTACCCCGGACGAATTATGAAATACATTGTCATAATGAACATGTATTTTTATTATTAAATTCTATTTCAATTTTCCTTTACTGGTATGAGTTGTACATTGCTACCAGCAGTATTATTCCTCATGTTCGTATAACATAAGTCACAGTTTTAATGGCAATTTGAATTTTTGTGAAATATTTGTATGTTTGAAATTTATATTAATCGTAGTTCTAATATGCTCCCGAGAAAAACCACACGGGGGGCTTCTTAATGTTCTAGTTTCGATCCTGGACCAACCCAGCCAAACGTTCTTTTCACTCGCACAGAACCGGCAACGTCGCACCAGACCGGCGTAACAACGAACCCCTTTTCACGGATTACTTTTTTCCTCTGGCCGATAGACTCCATTTGGAAAACTACCTGCCACAACTTGCGCCGCCCATGGACGCAAACTCTCCCCAAATCACTCCATGGTCCACGGTTCTTTTACTTTTGTCTTTACATTCGGCGTTCTATCTTTCTCATTTTCCTCAATGCTCTCGCTCCTTCTCGTCCTTCTTACTCCTTTGGAATATCGTACCGAGATTGTTAAGTCCATAAGTGGGATTATACCTTTCCAGCGGGGTACCGTTTCTCTCGGGAACCATCAATAGGTGTAAGAAAACGACCAAGTCCCCTTGTCTCGAGGCGCGAATTAATGATCGAAGGGATAAAAACTGAAATTCGAAGCGATTTCGATTATCAATGAAACCAGAAAAAAATAAATAAGTACCATAAAATTGTTATTTTTTTACATGTTATTAATTCAACGTGAATGTCTTTATACTGTATTATTTATAGAAATAAGAATTGAAAGTTAATTTAAAAAAAGAGAGAGACAAAAATGTGCTAGTTTTCATGGATTCTCTTTCGATAATTCGATATCTAAATTCAGGAAGGAGGAAACAACCTTAAAAGTGAATAAAAATTTATTTACTCCTGATGTTATAATATTTTCCACAATGTTTATGACAAATTCATATCGTTGTTCATAGTGTGCGCGTTATCTGTCGAAAAATTTTGTATACAACAGGGAACTAACTAATAAATAATTCGTTAACGAATACTCGTTCTTGAAATATAATTTAAATGCGCAGGATGTATACAGTGTGTATAGTTACTTCGAAATGATCCGTAACAAGATACCGAAGTGTATTCAGACAGAGTCGTTGCATTGTAAAATGTTGAATGAAGATACCTGAAGAGTTTGACGATAGTTTCTTAAAAGTACAAACGTGTTGGAAGAGACAAATATTGTTAGTAAAACATGTATTAGTCACTCGTATACTTTCACGTTAAGAAAAAAGTTCCGTACGTCTTCCAATACTACTTCTTTAGGTCTGAAGTTGGCACTATCGATAGCAAAAAAATAATTGAGTTCTGACATTGATCGATCGATTCTAACGATACGTGATTAATAATGGCCGACATATTAACCGGCAAATTCAAATTTTCTAAACTATTAAAATTGTTCTAACGAAACATATTTTTCTAAACCTATAATGAAAGGCATATAATAAATATTGAAAATTAATAAAATAATAAAAATTAATTGTTATGAAGATTAATATGTGATGAAAACAAAATTATTCTAACAATGAATTTATGATATATATAGATTTGACTGTAAAAATCTAAATTTTAGACAAAAATAAAAGATCGATGATTGTAAACACACATGTATATATATGATAGGGTGGTGATTCATTAAATAAAGAATTCTTTAAAATTAAGTATCCTCTTGGAAGATACTTGTCACTTTGACAAATACTGATTACTGTAGTGATATATTTAAGGTAGTTCCACTAAATACAAATAAATTTATAACATACTAATAGAATTACAGTCCTTGGTACCAAACTTTTTTCTTTGAATAAAACACTCGAGGGTTTACAAAGGGTTAACCCCTGTTGATAACTCACTGATCAATCTCTATAAATTGCTTCGCATTAAGCACGATCATCGTGTACGAGAAGCAATAAAATACATATCGAATAAAAAAAATAAATAAATAAATTTTTCCACTCGTCAATAAAAGCAACAGATTGAGCTATTTTTAAATGCATTTGCTGGTCAATTGCTTAAGATAACAAATGCTAATGTACATAAATATATATTACAATCTTATAATTTTCAATAAAAGAGCTGCAGCTAAATTTTTCATACAATTTTTCCATTTTCTTTTCGCGTTTCTCCAGTTAAATATAATTCATCATTTTTGCTTTCCTATCTTGCACATTCGTTTCTTTTATTAATGATTATTAGAATAAGCTTAAAATTAAAAAATGCAATACTCTGTGTAAAAATTAGTTTTCAGATAATCGCACACCTATATCCGCGACGTGAGAAAATTTTGGACATATTTAATGGACATTCTTCTTAGTCGTTATACAGATAATCCATTCGGCTCGAATAATATCAGGCAGTATCGAAATTATTCCTATTACTCTCCTTACTTTAATAAGACGAAAGAAACGTGTTCGATTTCTCTGGCGAAATATCTGAAAAGACGAGAAACTAAGCCTTTCTTAGTAATAAATTATTGAGCTTGTGCCATTAAGCGTTGCCTTAGCGTATCTCTATGTTTGTTAAAATTAGATAGACTGCTGCGGAATATCTTTTACAAAACGTTATTATTTTTGTGAATTGTGTAAAAGCGACACGATATATCGACACTCTTGTGGTTTACTGAGAAATATCGAATTGCTACGGGGTATTCTGAGTATTTTAACGATAAAAATTCTTTAAAAAACATTACAAAAGAACGTGATCATTTGGGAGAGTGAATATGAAAAAATATCTCAAAAATGCTTATCGAATTGAAAGCTATAATTTTTCGAACGCAGCTAACGTTATAAAATTAATAAAAATCGCAGCAAATATCACAAAGCTGTATAAAAATCAGTGAAATATACTTTGATAGTTGATAAACTGTTTTAGTCTTTTTATTATATAATTATTATACAATTATTATATGAAATTCACAGGAATCCCCATAACAAATCAATATATATCTAAATACAGTCGACAATTGCAACAAAATAATCTTCAGGTTGATTTTTAAATTACATAGCTGGAAAGCGAGTGAAAAAGTGAATTTCGAGTGTCTACATTAAAACAAATAGAATTTTTACTTGTTGCACAGTAAAAATCATTCGTGTTGTAACAATAATCTAATTATCGAGCCTTCCCCTCCGATGAACAAATTCAGTTAATATCAATAATTTACTCGATTAATAAGATTCTACAATGTTGCAAAGAGTACATGCAATTTTTTTCGACGAAACGTGCACGAAAGCAGAAAATTTCGTTTCTTCGAGAGAATTCTTGTGTTTGGTGCGTTCACGACCGATTTTCACAATTTTGGTGCCAATTTGTGACGAAACGGAATTATGTACAGTACAATTTAGGCCAAAGCGAAAAACTGCAGACGCGTTCAACCCTTAACGTTCCAACGTTACACATGATAAAATTTATTATTAATAGATAAATTTATAATTGATACCTATCTAAAATGAAACTGATAGATCACATGGATAAAACTATAGTCGACTTTAAAAACACGATTTTAATTATAAAATAGTAATTTATATTTTTATTTAATTTATTCCTTCAAATTGAAAATTTGAAATTGATATTTTAATAAAAAAGTTCAATCACATTTTTTACCTACGTATAAAAATACACGCGACACATAAAACAATTAAAAATTAAGATTCACTCACGATTATTAATTATTATTAATATTAAACACATATTTATAGACTTTTACGTATAATAATTATTAAATATTGCTTCTTTCGAATCTCCATTTTACCATCCTTTTATGAGCAATAAAACTCCTTCGAGCCTGTATATTTTTATAATATCTAAGTACTCCACCTCTAATATTTTTTTTCTTTTTAACAAAATAAGAAAATGGCTCGAAAAAGGTATTCAAATAGAAATATCTATCTAACAGAATTGAGATAATAAAATTATCTATTTGCAATCATTATAAAAACTCCTCTGAGTGTTCCTTTTATCAATACTCTTGTAAAGATACGCTAACGAGCATAAACAAATACTCCTGATTGCACTAGACAAACGAAAGCGGTAAAAAAGGACGAGCGATAAAATGAAGCTAAAAATGGCCGAAAATTAGTTTATCGTCCCCAACGATAAAAAAGGCTGCTCTTTTATCGACCAGCTGTTTCCTTTATCTTAAAAGTAAATACGTCTCGACTATTTACTTCAATTCTTAAAACACCTCAAAACACACGATCGTAGCAGGAAAAAATGAAAAAAAAAAAAAACAAACGAAAGATTTAAAAAAATAGAAAATAAAAAATAAATAATCGAGAATAAAGCAGTTTGACGTTCTGATCTGCGCAACTACTTACATTGGAAGTAATTATCACATCCTAGGAAGTCGCTATAAGGAACGAGCTATCCGGGCTACTTAAGTTTTACAACTGTACTCCCGATTATCTCGTTCGGTTTCACTTTCACTTTCAATAATCTGCAATTAGTAAATTAATTTAGAGAACACCGATTCACTGATTAACAGCTACTTAGATCCAATTAACGAAATTACCAACTTTTTTCTATCTCCCTCCACCAACTAATCAAAATTATCTTTTTCCGAATTTTGTTTCATGGGTTCATGTGTATGTGTGTATGTTGATTTTGTACGCAAATTCTCTACTCAATAGTTGGACCGTTTGAATCAACCTCGTGTCGTTTCTTCGTTTCAAAAGCGTATTATGAATATACAAATATACGCAAGAAGAATACTAGAATAAATCCAGAAAGTGTTTTACATATTTTTTTTTTTACTGTTACTTGTGTCTGTGTTCTATGTTTGTCGTTTCATTTTTTTTTAAAACTCTACAACCGGAGGAATACGCTACTGCGACTCTTTAATGAGACTCTAAATATTCCGTCGTATCAGGAAAAACGCGTGCTTTTTTTATCACTTCCCTTTCTTTTTTCCCCTCTGTTCTTTTATTCTGAAACGGCGGTTCTAACTTGTCGATTTTCCCGTCGACGGATTTCATTCTATTCAATATACAATTCCTTAAATGGAATTACATTTGGTTTAAATTACAAAAAATACACAGAATGCGTAATACGTATAAAAACGTGTCGTTTATGCGTCACATAGTTATATTTAATCTATATGTCGATTGTAAACAGACTTCGAAACGCAATACGCGAATTATAAAAATTAATGGAATGAATCGAAGATGGCTTCTAAGTTTTACGGAGATTTGAAGTAAGATAATAAAAATCACAAACATTGTTCACTATACTCTCAGAACAGAGCGTCTACACGAGACATTAAAATAGTCTAGACATCACTCTGTTTACAGGTTATTGAAAGAGCGCGTTTACAAATACGTCGAAGTCTGATTGCAATGTATGATCAATCCGGGTCAAATAATTTTATATTGCGTTATTAATGACCACCAGATTACACCTAATTAATCGCTACTATGCTGTTAATACATCACGAGCTATAGTGATATTACACGTTAACTAAAAACATAATATCGCTATTATCCCTATGTGTTCTCGATTTATAATATTCTATGTGCGTTATAACTCGTCATTTTCTCTCTACAGCGAAAGCATGATCATGAAACGTAAAAGGTCCATCTGCTCTGACAATGGAATACTTCTGTGTGTGTTCAAACGACAATTAGTTGCCTAATGTCTGGTATACGTGGAATTCTATACCTCTGGTGAGTTCTGTGTAGTCGCATTGATATGATCCTGTAAACAAATTCTGAGATCCCGCTCGTCCAGCTCACTTTCAGTGTCAACACTGTAACTTCTTACATTTTGCCCACCATGGCCTGTCCAACGTTGCTTCCAACTTTCTAGCCTGATGACCTGTGACATACATGAAATATATCGTAATATGTGTTAAATTCCATTAAAAATTATTTTTGTGAAATTCTCTAGACTTTTGTACATTATCATTTTAAAAAGGAATGTGCTTTATGCTTCCCTCCCTAAAAATAATATTTTACATGACACAATTCAACTATTTTCTAGTTTGCTTAGGTAATTGTGCATAATAGTTTCTAATTTGTATGGTTTAGTAATCTATTGATTGTAAGAATTATTATGTTGAAGATTATTTTTAGGAGAGTTCTGTGAGATAATAGACCAGCAAACCATTACAAGGTAGAAAAGATTGTACAATTTTTATAATGTATATAGTGTTTATGGAACTTATTTAAATACTCTGACTTCTATCCTGTTTTTTTAATTTTTGCTAAAGTTTCTGACTTCATTTTTTAAGATGAATATTTCCTAAAATCAAATGATGAAATGCTTTAAGGGATGCAACCAAAAAAAAAAAAAAAATAATATTAAATTAAATGAACAAAATGATTACCATGCACTTTAATATTGTACGTTTAATAGTTCGTTTAAAAGATGCAACAAAGATAATAAGAAATCGAAGAATAATTACCTGCAGTAAAATACTAAATAAGAATTATCCTATTTGATTATGTATCACTCATTTTTATAAAAATTCATAGCATAAGTTTCCAATTGTTATTTTTTCAATATGCATTTTTCCTAAATTTAATAACATACTGAATAGCATTACTTTTAGATTTTATACAAAGCATATTGTCTGAAACATTATGTTAAAAATTATAATAGATAACATGCATTACTTAACACACTGACTAAGCAATGTGTTAAATAGAAATATCTATAAGTTGTTCTATAAATATCCCTAAAACACTTTGCAAACGTGGTTGTCACATTTTTCTGTAATAAAAAAAATCTCATTTACATCTGTGATAAATAAACAAATAAAATGGAAGTTAAGCATGCAAATAGTGATTACAATGTGCATGTTGCAAAGCATATACCAAACACAATAAACACATTAAACCAATGCTCTGTTATACATACAATGATAAGTCAGCATAAGAAACAGAGGTAATGGGAAAATTAAGTGTGTAGGTGTTAAAGGAAAGTTCAAAGAGACATTAGAATACCAAGACTGGATAATAAAGACATTTGTTAATCTAATGGTTTTCTAAGTCTCATAGCACTTGCTTGTAGACTGAGAGATGAATTGTCCTGTAATTTAACATAGCATGTAATTACTTCATAAAATATATACAAAATTATATAGGAAGGAAATGTAGTCTTTTAATATAGACATGTTGATGTCATGCTTCGTACATGAAATGAAAAAAAAAATAATGTTTACGGATGGGTAAAGACTTACTGGTAAAAGCACCAAGCCTCAGTCTCCGGGCTGATGAATCTTATAGGTATCTAACGAGACAGAGATAACACAGCAATAGAGGGTTAGTTTTACAAGACCATTAGTTTCTTTGTGTTAGTGTCTGGTACCTTTACACAATAAGAATTCCACTGATACTTGAAACCTAGTTTAATTAATATTATATCATCACATTGTTCCACATCAATGACTTTTTTGTTTAACAATCTTTTCTAATAGCACTCATTACAATGCATTTTTGCTGGATGCCTAATTGATACAGATAATTAAAATAAATGAACGATATCTTTGAAGGTATAGTTTCTACGTGTTACTCCGTGCTGTGCTAGCTCTCAACGTCTAATACAATATCCTCGAAGCACAATCAGTATCGTAAATAGCAAGCTTAGTTTATAGTAAAATGATTTTAGTATGTATCTACACAAAACGATTTAAATGTTAATGCTAAAACATTGAAAATTTGGTAATTATTATAATTTCGATACTGTAAGATATTTACAATAAACTTTAACAAAATATGGAATATATTTCCTGAATTTAAAATATTGTACTTAACGTCTCATTAATTTAAGTTCTTTTTTATTACAAATTTTCAATGTACAACAAAATTAAAACAAATATTTCGTTCAAAAAGACATTTTCGTAAATGGTGCCCTCAAAGATATAAGTTTCAAGTTCAATACAATGATTATTATATTCTCACAAGTGCAAAAATAACATTCAATGAGGGAATACCGTAATCACGATTAAATTTAGAAGCGATTTGACAATTATTATTAATACTTTGCATTGCAGCAGAGACATAACAAGCTGTGAATGCACCCTAGTCTCGAAGCTTTGATACGTAAATTTCTTATATAACAAAATTCACACACATTATATGAATACATAAAATTAGGAGTGGACCAAAACAATTAGAGATGCACTTTTGATGATGAAACGCGATGAATTCTTAATGTGTATAGGTACCTCAGAAGGAATATGTTATCTGCTTATATGAAAAGTGTGAGAACGATTGTGTTTTATCGTCCATTGCAACAGTTAATTGTTAATAACAAATATAAAAAGTATGTATCACAACGTTAGTATTCCATCCATTAGTTTTTGAAATTTTATAAAATATCAACTTCATACGAGTATTAATTCTATTAATTAGTAATACAAAAACGGATTCCCGAACAAGATATAAATAATTTCATTTTATTAATGACGATATTAATAAAATTTGATTCTATATTAAAATTTAATATTAAACCTACAAAGATTTTTATAGTACATGATTTTATCAATAAAGAAAATTGTTCATTAGCGTGATAATTAGCATTACATTGCAGTAAGAGGTGCAATTTGTGCATACTTTTGTGAATTACAATAACAAGAAAGCATAAATTACATCTTCGTTTATGTTACATGTTATTACGATAGACGTAATTTTGTGCACCAAACAAATACTATTGAATTATGTACATATGTTTTTTTATATATTGTCCTTATTAGAAGGATTTAGGATAGCCAATTAGAAAATTATTAGTAATACATCAAAAACTTAATCTTTTACGGTACGTGAATTAACAGTGCAGTAAAAAGGAGCGACAATAGTGTTAAGTCCCCATTAACATGATTTTCGAGATAAAAGAAAAGTGAATATGAAAAACATGGATAGTTCATAAAATGGTGTCACAAAAAATGTGCATTATCACAGATGTGTAAATACGATTAAAAAAAAAGAAAAAAAGGAAAGAAATGGAGTGTTCGTATTATCCACGACTATCATTCTTAGATAGTATTACCGAAATTTGATATAGAAAAATTTTAGAAACACAATAACATTTCTATGAAATTATAATTCATTATCTTAACATGTAAAAATTAATAGTTTCTAAAATATGTTGAACTGAAAAAGACTTTAAATGTGTTAATGATCATAATGATTGTATAGAATTTATATGATTTTATGACTAAACGTATGAATATGCAGAAACTGAAACAATAAATCAAGATCCTGTAACAAGGCTATCAACTGGATTTACTTCTATATTCAAATGTACGATAAGTCTTGATAATTATATAACTCTACAAGCTTTGAAATTTACTAACTTGCAGTCTAATAGCAAATTGAATAAAAATTGGATTTTAAGCTACTGTAATATGATCATAATTCTACATCTTTATGAGCTACCGTCATTACTTCTACCATCGATACTTTAAACTTATACTGTGGTTAGTATGTTAAATAAAGAAATGTGTTTCAACTTTAATCGAGGAGATTTGACGAGAGTCATTGACGTCCATAAACATGTATAATAATAATTATACTTGTGCATAATTGAAAGCATTCGTAGCTATATTTCCAGTACTAAAATACTGTATATTCCTTTAAAATTTACATGAATGGTTTTATTTTGAACATAAGATCGTTTGACTCTAAATTTTATAGAAATAACAAAAATATCCTGAGTAAGTAGTACATGCAAAAAATATAGCACTAAGGATAATTTTGAATAATTTTATGTTACAATTTTCTTTTTTCGTGATAAACTAGATATTAATTTATATTTGAACAATGTTTTTTTTTTTTCCATTCACCTCTTACTGCAGATTATATCAATGCTTTCATTAATGCAGCACGAATAGGTAAAATATTTCCACATACCTCAGCTTTTAATTCTGCAACTTTATCCTGCAGTTCTCTGACTCTTTCATTGTCATCTAAATTATTCCTAAGCTCACCTTCTGCAAGCATCTCTTCATTCTGTAACAAACAAGAATAATCAATAATTTTAATATCCTTATAAAAATGTTTGTATTGAAATATTCAAAAAAGTTATACAAATAAAAGAATAGTACTTTTAATTCAAGAAGAGATATTTTCTGAGTGAGTTCTGCCACTTGCTGTGCATGTTCCGCATCACGTATCCTAGCCATCATAGCTTCATCCTTCATTTTTGACTCCAGGTCGGAGTACTTATGCTGCTGCTCTCGTAATTTGGCAGTAAGTTCCTTTTCCCTAGCCAAGGCAGCTTCTAGCTCCTCTTTAAGTAATTTCCCTCCTTCGTCTTGTCGACGAAGTTGATTCGTAGCAACCTGTACTTGAGTTTCAAGCTCCATGACTTTTAGTCTTAACTCTTTTACTTCGGTCAAAGCTTCCATCTCCCGAATTCTGGTTGTCATTAAATCTTCTACGAACTTTTGCACTTCATGACCGCGGTTTTCCCAAAATAGAAGTTTTTTAGGCGTAGAATCGCTTGCTGGTTGTGGTTGAGCAGAACGATGTTCTTGCAGATGTCTTTGCCAGGCACTGTTCAATTCCGTTACTCTTTGTCGAAGATCCTAATAAATTTCTTGTATTATGATAAATTTATTAAATCTACATATACTTTACGATTATTAGAAGATCATAAATAATTCTTTTTAAATGTGAAAAATTCAAAGAGATGTGAAAAAAGAATTACCTTCAAAGAAAGATTAGCCTCTGCTTCTCTTAATTTCACGGCAATTAGCTCTTCTTGTAAATGAGCAACAGAATTATCCGGTGTCGATTCGCGCAACGTTTTTTTATCTTGTTCCAGTTCTTGTATTCTTGCTCTAAGTTCTCTTATCGTTGCATCATTCTCTGCCTCATGCAATCGAACCCTTACCAATTCCTCTTGCAAACATTGTATCATTTCTTCCTTTTGCGACAACGCTTCCTGTTTTAATAATATTTCATCCAAAGAGGATTGTTTCGATGTTACATTTTCCTCTAGCAAAAGAGACAAAGATCGCAGTTCCTCGTGAGCTTGCTCAAGCTGGTGACTGGTTTCAAGATGGGTATGTCGAAGAGCTGCTAATTCTCTTTGTGCAACAAAGGCAGTTTCTTCCTCTTCTGCTCGAGAAACTTGACCCCTAACTAATCTATCAGCCAACTCCGCGGACTCAGCTTCCAAAAGTTCAGTTCTTTGCCTAAGTAACCTATTCTCGGCTCTAAGCCTACGGAGCTCAACCATCTCCTCTTGCTCTTTCATTTTCAATACAGTATAATCTTTTTCTAATTTCTTCATTCTCTTCGGATTTATTTTCATACCATAGGCAAGATTCATGAGGCCATCAGGATCTTTTTCAGCTCTCCCAGGTAGCTGTTTCTGAAAGAACTATCACACGAAAGTACTGATAAATATTAGTGAAACAAGAAAAGGATCAATATATTTCCACGTGTAGAGATAAATATTATTAAACTATCAAATCTACATTGCTTAACTTTTCTATACAAAATATACATAATAAATTCCTTTCTGTTTCCTTAATGGCTTTATTTATGGACAAGATGTAGGATTCTGATGATAAAAATTACCTTCAACATGCCTTCCATGTCCAAGCTTAACAAATCTTCTTTGCCTAAATGCAACATGGCCAGCGCAACTTTGAAAATAATTTCCATGCCTTCGGACAGAAACACGTCAAAAATGCGGCAGGCCAGCGGTAGGCTGAGCGCTGTGGTAAAAAGCGTAAGAAACCAAGACGATGCGTACATCGACGTGTGAAAACCTTGAGCCGTAAAATGAGCGTGTAACTCGGGATGCGTGTCAGCAACTAAATGTTCTAGCTGATACATGCACACCCCTAATTCAGCCATACTCGGCTTGAACATATCTCGCAAACGATACTCTTGCATAAGCGCTACCAGAACAGCGAAAGCTTCCTCCTCTGGCATTTGCTGTAACAACAAATTGATATACCTATTTAATTCTGATCGAGTTAACGCAACTAATCCCATTTTCTTTCATTATTTTTCTTTAAAATAATTATCTTTATATCTTAGTCCCTCTACCCCTGCTCAAACATTAAATTGTACCTGCATAAGGAGTAATCCTACAATAAATCCCGAACCTTGACAGTATCCCACTTCACGATCATGAAGACTATATGCTTTCATAACGTTAAACAAGCTCTCCTGACCAAGCCCGTCTTTCTCCTTAAAGAAATCATGCTCAGGATACGTTCTGGCTATATCCCTCCTGATTATCCTTTCGCATGCGGACGTGGCCTTGATATAATCAGCGAATTGCTTTTTCACGGGAGAGTCATGAGCACCACTTAATAGTTGCCAAACAATACCTCTGTAATGATGAATACGAATCAGTTTTCCCCCATTAATACATGTTTTTATTTCCTAATTTTATTTAATGTTGATTTTTATTAAGTTTAGAAAACTTTATGTCTCATCCAAAGTTACTAATGACCTCGATAAACTGAAATTTTTTGCTAAAGGATTGATTACCTAAAATGATGAGGTATTCCTTGACGTACTAAGTCTTTGACGAACTCTTTCCTCTTCTTCCAATGATAATCCCAATCAGCGACGATGTGACCCCATAGGGTCCATGTATTTTCTTCACCATCAGCTGAATTGTGGCGTCGGGGTGCAGCATCGCCATTTTTTCCGCTGCCCCCCGACGCCACGGACACCTGAGATGTGTCGGAACCTTTCCTACTGTGATTGCTTTGGAGCGAGTTCAACGACTTTGCATCCGATTCGATAAGCCTGTTATCAATTACATGAAATTCTTAAGACACGCACTTTAGCTTAACGGAATCGTGTTAAAGCACTATTGAGTGGTAACATATGAGATATTTATACGGGCTGATGGAAATAAAAGTTTCCCTTCCTTTAGTAACAGAAGATGAATTAAATACAAATCTTGGACATACAATGGATTAATATGTGTCATAAAATGGTGTCATAAAATTTATGATTCTTTTTTTACTAACAAATGCCAGCTTTTTTATCATTACTGTTAATTCATAGGATATTACAGTTCGTAATAATATGATTCGATAGTATCATAAATTTTCAACATTATTTTCATATGTTACAACTCAAAATTATAATAAATATCCTAATTAATGCAAGAGTATATATTCTCTCCCCGTAATGTGTGCTTAGTATCGCTTAACTTTGAGATATAAACATAAAAACATGTAACAAGCAAAACTGCGAAATTAATACAAAAACGTATTATTCAGAATAATTAAAGGATCTCATATTTTAAATTCGAACTAAATATCGAGAATGGGAAGAGACTGTATGTATAATATTATGTAACTTCCACTATCAATGATACAGCATAAAATATTATATACCAATTTCAATGAAACTTCGTAGAGAAACAAAGAAAGAGAAATATTTCACCTATGTTCAGTTATGCGTATAAGTGAAGATTTATGAAATATTTAACACCAAAATTCATGCTTCACGCACTAGTTCATCAAGTATCTAAGTTTTTACAGTTCCATCAAGTAACATAATTCAATAGCAATTTTCTTCCATGGCATCCAACTTCGTTTTATTACGTACATTCTATGTATAAATCTCGAAGTTTGTAAAAGTTTCATAGAAATTAATACATAACATCTCGATATCGTTTCCCTTGCAAATATCTATTATTTCCAATTCAATACTTCCAATATCCATTCAAACTATTCATTCTCTAATTCGCAATCACGTGATCCTGTAATTATATTGAGTCACATATTAACATACGTAATTGATGATAAAGCGGTAATGTATGATAATATCTAAAGCACAATTCGCTTGCACATGCAGTGTCGACGGGTAAACGGTTAGTCAGCGCGACGATTTACCTATTGGCTTCCTCCAGCTTAGCTAATAGAGCCAGCTCGTCGGTGGGTATTTCCTGCAACGAGTTTATCCTCTCTTCCTCGGATGAGATCGGCGGTGTGCTCGGAAGTATCTTGCTAGCCTGGCTGTTGTTTTGACCTGTTTGATGTACCGTAGTGCATAAACACAACACGCTCATCACCTGCGGTCCATAACGCGATAATCCTAATTGTCCGGCTGCTTGTTTTTCTTGACCCCTGTAAAATAATCATCGTTTCATATCATTTGTTCAAGGTGACGTAACAGCAATGGTATTACAGCCTTTCACAGCTTGCAGCTGTTACCATTTAAGGCTTCCTAGGGTGAATAATTAAGAAGATAATATTCTTTTAGATTATTATTCCAGAAAAATTTTGTCATTAATAATTGAAGCTTTAAACAAAATCAATATGCATACCATCAGAATATTCTGTATGTGGAAGCCTCTATTAATCCTTGAATACTAAAGCAAGGTACTGCAAACCCCATTTATTTTTATTTTAACTATTTCTAAGATGTGGCCTTTATTATTTATACCTATTATTGGTGATCTTCTGGCACGGAAAGACTTAATTAGCACCAGATCTGAATTTCTATTACGTGATTATTACATTAATAAAATTACGTTTCCCGACCAATTAAACTCTACTTTTATTTATTTTCGTGTTTGACGTATACAGTTACCCAGTAAGTTACCCACTGTTAATGGGGTTATGTGTAAATATAGTTACTGTAGGATTAACACGGTAATTTTCTTTCTTCATTTTCGATCATCGACCAGTTTTTCTCTTATTTTACTCCACAAAGCGCAACCATAAAGGTTGTAACTGAGAAAGAAAAGCGTGCAGTTAAAGAGAACTATTTTCAATTTCAATTTAATTAATCCACTACGTACCTAGAGAGATCATCGATAAAGTGTACAAAGATTTACGGTGCCTCGCACCCTATCAACGAGGAAATTAATTAACGAGAAAAGGTAAAAAGGGAAAGCGTAAAAATCACGCTAACGAATCGGCTTTAACATTGATTTACATTTTCGTATTAATCGTTCACCGTTAAATGAGGTATCGTACGCGCCAAATTAATGGGTTCAAGTGGCAACGAGTGGACTCTATCGGCTACCAATTAAAGCTCGAACTGCGCGCGCTTTCTCAACCCCCGACGAATCCCGTCGAACATTCCACGAACGTTCGTTATCTATCGTTCTTCCACATTCTCTTTGAACCAGGTCCAACGTTCGTTAAACCTCAATTAACGTGTTCGTTCTACCTTTTCGACGTTTTATTCCGTGTCCATCGCGCCGCCGCTGGTGCCAGCAAACCACGAAGAACCATCGAGAAATTTTCTCTTCTCCTCACTCGCGTAGCTCTCGATCGAAAATCGACTCGCGCGACCTGCCTCGCCGCGCCCCCTTCACCAAATTACTTTCGATTCTTCCGCGAAGCGCTCGTCACAGCGCACGATTTTCCAACGATTTTCCGCGGAACCATTTCGTACATACGTTTCACAGGCATCTTTTTCTACGAATATTTTTCTGCTCGAGTAAATCGTTGGATTTCTACGGCAGACTCGTATTAACAATTTTTTTTCATGATAATTAAAATAAATCGTGGAATTTCAGGTCCGTTTTAAATTCGCTAGGGAATTTTCCAGATACCGTGAACGTTAGTCTCGCGAGTTGGGCGGGAAGTTTGTAATTAACGTAGAGACCTGAAACTTTTTCACGTTAATGCGAGAAGTAATTCTTATTAAGAATTTAACTAGATGGCAAGATGAAACGTGTTTTGTATTATTAATGAAAAATCATGAGACATCTGAGGAAGTGGAATTTTAATGATAACTGATAAAAGTTAGGTTAGACGTATAAATATACGAGGATCGAAGTGCTTCGAATCATGAAAATTTATACACGTTGAAATTCGCTAAAACTGGAGAATTCCATTTGAAAGTTTCAATCAATTTATGGGAGGCAATATTAGAAATTCTGGGAAAGTTTCTTCGACTGAAGACCGTAGAAAATTGTCAAGACATAAGAAATCGAACTTTCTTCTGAATTTCCTCGATTACTTTTCATCCTAGACGAAACGAACGCACTTCGCTCGAAATCTGCAGAGCAATCCTGCGAAATGACTCATGCAACTGTCTAACGTTAACACTTCACAACTTCTCCTTGAAACCGAAGTTTCTCTAGTCGATCGAAGAGTTTCACGATTTCTTCTACAACCAGGAAAACGCTATCTATGCAAAAACCTAAATTAATCTTCCTTTAACATCTTCTATTAATATTTCTAGTAATTTATTTTGTAATCTTACTTGCGTTATTATTATTATCCAGTTTTTATTGCTTGTATCTCGCTATTTGACTTATCTGGCGAGTTACACGTTTAATATTCAATTTTCATTATTCACGGTTGTATATATATCACTGATATTTAATTTTTCTTTTATCGTTCAATTTTTCTTACTTATACTTTTATAAATTTACTAATAAGATACTTCATTTTAATTATTTAATATTATATTTCTGTATTTATTTATATCCAGCTTTTTAAATTATTACCTATCTTTTCTTATTACTCAACTCTTGTTACATGTAGCTTTTTCTTATATCTTTCCTCCACTATTTCCCTCACTTGCAACTTTATACGTATCTTCGATATTCCATTTTCATTGCCCGTAACTTCAACCTATACCTTTAGCCCCCGTATTTTTGCTATTTTACTCGAGAGAATAATAACTCATACCTAACACTACCTAATTCATACCTAACTCACCTAATTTTTGTTACGTATCACTTTACTTTTATATATGTACATATATATACTGGGTGGTCCACGGGTACTCGAGGTATGCAAGTTACACGGACCACCCTGTGCATATGTACATATAAATTCGATGTTTATTAAAATTATGTATCCATTTCACGTTTCTTCTTAAGAATAACACGCAGAAAAAAATTAATTTCCCGATCTCGAGCCCTCAATTTTCCACTTTGGTTCGAAGCGAGCAGACGTGCACGAGAAACAAAAGGTCAAGAAGAAAGCCGAGCAATTAGCGCGTGCGAATGAATTAGCAAACGAATGTAACGCGCGAAACACTCGTGGCAATATGCCATACACTGGCTACGAGATGGGATAATTTATGTCTCTCGGTACCCTGAATTACCGTGGAATTTCAAGCGTGTATGAACATCTGCGCAAGCGTGGTGCCATACCGTTTAAATGGTCCCTAGGGGTTCGATCGAGAACTATGTTACCGAATTGAATCGAATTGTATAATAAATACATGCACGACAAAGTTGTCACAAATTTACCACCATATGAATTACTATTACAACTATAATATAATGGTAATTATGAAAGTGGTCCTATTGTAAGTAAAAAAAAAAAAAAAAAAAAAAAAAAAGAAAAAAAAAATTTTT